TGACTCAAGTGTCACCCCACATGGCGACTCAAGTGTCACCCCACATGGCGACTCAAGTGTCACGACGTAGCGTGGGTCGCCAGGTCAATGAACTTCATGACGTCACCGACGCGCAGCGCGACGCGGGGCGACGTATTGCTGTTGGTGACGTCATCATTACAACGTGAACAGCAAAATCACAAACACAATTTACGAAAAATATGCGCATTATATAGAAATTATATACTAATTAAACTATTATAATGCTCGCGTTAGTTAAGTAATTATTCAATTATTAGCAGTTTAGTCCGGGATACATGATTCATCCAATTGCAGAATCCTGTCAACTTGCAATTCCTTTTGCCCGGATTTCATGATATTAAATAAGATTCGGAATTAGATAATAGTATATATGGAGTATATATTAATCTCATTATTATTTAACACTCTGACTCCGATTGCTTTATCTTGTACTATTATTTCATTTTTAGTACCGTTTTCAAACAGTTTTGCCAGACGGTCATTTTTTCCGGACAAATTCCGTGATTTAGTTTTTCTCAATTGCGTTGGCCAGCTAAAATTTATGATAGGGGTACTTCCTAATTAAATTTTAAATACTGCAAAAAGAAAATAAATTGAATTTTTATAGCAGAGGCTACAAATAAACTAGTATATATTGAGTTATCGGCCTTTTTTGTTCTCGGATTTGGCCGATTTTAGGCAACCTGAATTATGTACCACTACGTCCTGGAAAATACATTTCGTGGTACTCCTATGTACCACTTCGTAGTCAACGTGTTAATATTAATGAGAATCCTGTCAATAATATTTAATAATAATGAGATCAATGATATTAGAGCTTATGTATGATAATTACAGAATGACCGGTTCAAACCATATTTCATACAGAACATTCAACTCATATTTGACTCATTTCAAAGTACGCTACATTATTATGTGTCATTTTAGTTGACGACTGGATAAAAAATAAGGATAAATATATAAAGAAGATGGATAGGAGGAATGGGAGGGGAAGGTTGAATCACAAATAGAAATTTTTTTTTGGAATTGATTGATATAAATTTGATTTAAGACACAAAAGAATTTTTTCCAAATATTGAAAAAATTATTTTTCCTTCCACGTCAGTGAGTAAATTGGGAGCTCCATTTTCAATGTAAAATGGGGGTTTGAAGAGGTCCTTCTTCAATTGGCATTCACACGCTTCCTAATTATCAAAGGGATTAAGAGAATGACAGGATTAAGGATTCTGAAATCCCAGGATTATTCAGGGATTTCTATATCCTGGCTGGAATTATCGACCCCAGGCCACGCCATGCTAACCTGCTATTATTATAGGTACTCGTATGATGTAAGGATTATCTGTAGATATAAGGAAAAAACATTATTTGTTTTTCTTGAAAGGATATTTTTATTTTAAGGATTATATGTATATAAATATGTATATAAGGATTAAAAACATTATATGTTTTTATTGTAAGGATTATTTAGATAAAGATTATTTATATTGAAGAACCATTACAGTGTAATTAAAATAAGGGGGGGACGAAGGGGAGCTCACCCGCAGCGGGGGGCGGGGGCGCCCGCCATGATCCCCACGAGGACGGGGGCGACGGGGACCCCCGCGACCACGGCGCCCCCTGCCTCCTGTAATAGGGGGCACCATTTTATTGTGATGAAATAGGGGCAACATTTTATTGTGATGAAATGGGGGCACCATTTTATTGTGATGAAATAGGGGCAACATTTTATTGTGTCATTTTATTGTGATGAAATAGGGGGAAACATTTTATTGTGATGAAATAGGGGGCAACATTTTATTGTGATGAAATAGGGGCAACATTTTATTGTGATGAAATAGGGGCAACATTTTATTGTGATGAAATAGGGGGCAACATTTTATTGTGATGAAATAGGGGCAACATTTTATTGTGATGAAATAGGGAGCAATATTTTGGTGTGATGAAGTGGGGGCACCATTTTGTAAACTTTTTTCACCACGCATTTCAGTGGTGAAAAAAATCACGATCAGTGCAACGGCGTATGATAAAATATCTTTATTGTTATCAGAATATTTAATTTTAATTGTTTATTTTTAATATATCTTTAGTGTTATCAGAATATATAATAAGAATATAAAAAAACCAGCACCTCATCCCTCGGTTCCGATAATCACAAACCTCGTCATCACTAAGCTTGTTATAACCTCGCATGGAGATCCCATGTCCGAGGTTCAAAGAACTTAAAGTTTTAAATTTTTGTGCCGAGAACTAAATTTACTTCATCACAGCAAAACATAAAAATGTTTCGTTTGAAGCCTCCTTCCCAGCGGGGGCAATCGTAAACGTAAACGAGAATTTGCCGTTTTTACCATTCATATAATTAAAATTAATTAGGAATATATAATTATAAATTAATTATAATTATAAAGCGGTTTCAGCTTCAATTGTTGATCTATAGTAGATTATCTAACCCCTTGCTGATTTTGGTGAGAATTTTCACAACGAATTGCGGATCTCGAACCCCCAACTCGCTGCTCCAATCTTGGTAATCTTAACCTCTCAGCAAGCCAAGCTTGAAGAGAAGCATACAAATTAAGTACTATTAAGTATTTGTAACCATTCCTTTCTCTGAGTATTTCAAGTATTTATAACCATTCTTTTTCTCCTTCTATTAAGTATTTGAGAGTATTAGTATTAGTATTTGAGGGTTTTTTGTATAATAAGCTATTAGTAGTAAGTTACCATACACTTGGGGAAGCTGGGGTTGTGGGTCTCAAGACACATCTCCTGCTGTAGGACGCGCCTCCCCAGCCGTTCACTGCATTGCGTCCTCCCCAACACCCGCGCGGAGGGGAGGGCTGAGGTCTTCCCCATGCTGCTGTTCAGCACCATGACCGTGCTGCCCTCGTACGTCTCTGTGACATAGTTTAGAATAGAATGAAACGTCTCTGATCACATCAGATCTGCAACGCGATCGGGTAGAAGTGGTTCCTGATGGTTCTCAGTGGGATCTAATTGCACTTAAGGGTTCCTTATGGTTCTCAGTGGGACTTTATGGATCCTGATGATTCTCAATAGGACCTAATAGCACTTAAAGGTTCCCGATGGTTCTCAGTGGGACCTAATGGCAATTAATCGTTGTCAACTACAGAGCGTGGATCCTGCTGAACGGTGCTGATCAGGACTGACCATCGGAAAACTCTTGTTCAGATATTTGTAATTCTGGCTGGAATCGTAAATACTTCATCCAAAACCTTGTGAAATTATTGCGGGATTTTGTTAGATTATGTGGGACCTTCCTGAGAATTAGAACTGTTTATAAGGAAGCCATGTTGCCGCCTAGGTCACCCGGCCGAAGTCAGATTCTGTTCAAACTCTCCTTCATACTTAAGAGTCACCTGAGAGTATGAAAAGTGTGTCCTGAGAGTATGACAAGGCTTGGCTTTGCCAAATTATGCCGAGCTTGCAAGCTGCTTATAGGCTGCCCTTCAACTCAGGCCGGGGCAGATATTAGCGGCTGATTTACGTGCTCCCCGAGTCCTGGGCGGCAGAGTCAGGCCCGCATCTGAATTTTGTTAGGATTGTCATGGTACTCTCAGGACACACTTTTCATACTCTCAGGCGACTATAATGTCGGAACGGAGATTCTGACCAGACGCTGATTTAGACTGGTTGACCAAGCAGACCCAGAATAACTTTAAACCGAGCGCAGCAGCTACTGGTCAGAAGCCTAGGTACCTACAATTTCTTAGGGCAGCTACAGCTCTCACCCCTCGAGGACGGCAGCGTCACGGCCGTACGTCCCACCACGGGCTCTGCATGGGTCAGCACCGCGACGTCGGAGTGATAGTTACGATAATCGTACATGGGGTGGAAGGTTACGTGTGTCACGCCCGTGTAGTCCGTGTTATTCCACGATGGTTTCAAGCTTCGGTCGCCGTAGAACAGCCGTAATTTGTACGGTGCTTTGGCGTGCCTGTCGAGTTAATGAGCCCGTAAGTACCAAGATACTCGAAAATATGTAGCTTAGTAATGATGTTAAACAGGCTTCGTTTAATTATTTCATTAATCACATTTCTGACGACAAACTCAATTACACGAGCCAACCTTACCCTCACCCAGCTTACCCTCACCCAGCTTACCCTCACCCAGCTTACCCTCACCCAGCTTACCCTCACCCAGCTTACCCTCACCCAGCTTACCCTCACTCAGCTTACCCTCACCCAGCTTACCCTCACTCAGCTTACCCTCACTCAGCTTACCCTCACTCAGCTTACCCTCACTCAGNACACACGTCAGGGTTAAGAGGGAACCCTGCACACACGTCAGGGTTAAGAGGGAACCCTGCACACACGTCAGGGTTAAGAGGGAACCCTGCACACACGTCAGGGTTAAGAGGGAACCCTGCACACACGTCAGGGTTAAGAGGGAACCCTGCACACACGTCAGGGTTAAGAGGGAACCCTGCACACACGTCAGGGTTAAGAGGGAACCCTGCACACACGTCAGGGTTAAGAGGGAACCCTGCACACACGTCAGGGTTAAGAGGGAACCCTGCACACACGTCAGGGTTAAGAGGGAACCCTGCACACACGTCAGGGTTAAGAGGGAACCCTGCACACACGTCAGGGTTAAGAGGGAACCCTGCACACACGTCAGGGTTAAGAGGGAACCCTGCACACACGTCAGGGTTAAGAGGGAACCCTGCACACACGTCAGGGTTAAGAGGGAACCCTGCACACACGTCAGGGTTAAGAGGGAACCCTGCACACACGTCAGGGTTAAAATCGAACCCTGTACACCGGCGAGGATTGATTACAATCTTGATCGCCAAACATTAATAAGGCTGTACAATACGTAAATTATTTGTCATTCATAATACGGTATGCTTCATAGATCTTGTAGTATATATATAATGCTTTTCGTCATTCTAATTTTTTTTTCACAGTATACACCATTTATTATAACATAAAAAATAACGTTGCAAATAGCGCACATAATGAAGCACGGACCATTCAATTACACTTTTCATCATTCAATGCATTACGCTATAATCAATACACAATATACAACGTTTTTCGTATAGTTATACATATTGATATACAACGGGTGAGACGTTCATACGGAATACGAGGCACCGTGTGGGGGCGGCGGGGGGACTGTGGCGGTCACCCGTGGCGGGGGAATGTTGCGGGGCAGCGTGGGCACGTCTGGGGGCACGGGGGAGGAGGAGGTAACTAACTGGTTAGGGCAGCTCACTAGTGCCCGCTACTAGTGACTAATAGAACAGATTTGTTGTAAATACTGACTGTCGCTAATTACCAAGGCAAAGTATGATTAATATGTTAAAAAGTGGCCATTGCTAGAGATATTTAAGCTTGCTTCATGTATCTACTTCATGGTGCTAACTAGTGACGTAGATTTTTAGTTACAGTCGGTCACTAGAGCAGGAATTACTGCAAACTAGTTTACTGGTCGGTGATAGCACATGTGGCATGTGACAGGTGGCATGTGTCACAGGTGGCATGTGAAAGTAGGCATGTGACAGGTGGCATGTGACGAAGGCATGTGACAGGTGGCATGTGACAGAAAAGTTATTGATCTCTTCCACGCGCTGATAAGAATATCAATAGAATATAATAAAATATCAATATTTCAAACATTAATATTTTTATTTCAAGGATATTAAATGAACAAATCGCCATTTACTTAAAATAAATACTTGTACAGCCTCAGCGACCAGCTACTCACTTGACGAAGGGGCTCCCGATGAACCTGAGGTCTGGTTTGCCGAAGCTTGAGAACCCGAGTGATGGTTTGCTGAAGCTTCAAAACCCGAGTTCTGGTTCTCTGGGGCTTCAGAAACCGAGTTCTGGTTCTCTGGGGCTTTAGAAACCGAGTTCCGGTTCTCTGGGGCTTCAGAAACCGAGTTCTGGTTGGTTGGAGCTTCAAAAACCGAGTTCTGATTCTCTGTGGCTTCAGAAACCGAGTTCTGGTTCGCAGGAGCTGCAGAATATGAGTTCTGGTTCGCTGGAGCTTCAGAAACCGAGTTCTGGTTCGCTGGAGCGTCAAAAACCGAGTTCTGGTTCGATGGAGCTTTAGAATCCGAATTCTGATTCGCTAGGGCTTCAAAAATCGAGTTCTGATTCTCTGTGGCTTCAGAAACCGAGTTCTGGTTCGCTGGAGCTCCGGAACCCGAATTTAGTTTCGCTGAAGTTTCAGAAACCGAGCTTTAAACCAAGTTCTGGTTCGTTGGAGCTTCAGAAACCAAGTTCTGGTTCGCTGGAGCTTCAGAAACCAAGTTCTGGTTCGTTGGAGCTTCAGAAACCGAGTTCTGGTTCGCTGGAGCGTCAGAAACCGAGTTCTGGTTCACTGGAGCGTCAGAATCCGAATTCTGGTTTGCTAGGGCTTCAAAAACCGAGTTCTGATTCTCTGGGCCTCCAGAAACCGAGTTCTGGTTCGCTGGAGCTGCAGAATCTGAGTTCTGGTTCGCTGGGACTTCAGAAACCGAGTTCTGGTTCGCTGGAGCTCCGGAACCCGAATTTAGTTTCGCTGAAGTTTCAGAAACCGAGCTTCGGTTCGCCGAAATTTGACGAGTTCTGGTTCGCTGGAGCTGCAGAATCTGAGTTCTGGTTCGCTGGGACTTCAGAAACCGAGTTCTGGTTCGCTGGAGCTCCGGAACCCGAATTTAGTTTCGCTGAAGTTTCAGAAACCGAGCTTCGGTTCGCCGAAATTTGAGAACCGGAGTTCAGGTTTATCAAAGCTTGAGAACCAGCGGTAGGCAGAAAGGTCTCGGGAGAGAATGTGACGTTAGCGATACTCGTGAGCTGCTGGACGATGTTGAAGAGATCGAAGGACTGAATGTCCGATCCAACAGTCGAAACATTTTGGCCAGCATCGAACAAAATCGAGTTTGTTCCATCCAAAAAACTTCCCGAAATTGTATCGTTGGTCATGGTTTCTACTGCGCTAAAATTTCTCAAAGACGGATCAGAAGAACTAATAGAAAATGTTCCGGATTCTTCTTGAATTTCGTTTTCCAAGTTCAGCGTTTGCTCAGACAAGTCGTCATTTCGAATTGAACTTGGATTTCCTGTAGTTACTTCGTTGATGGTATGGAAATTTAAGTTCGCTGCGAATAGTCCGTCAAAAAGCCCCAGACTCAAACCTCCAGATAACGAAATGCCTGGAATGAACTTCGACAGGACGAACTTTGGTGCGCCATCCGCGGTCGCGGATACGGAAGAACCTGCGATGCGGGTCACCCCTCCCACCGTCTGAATGGTGGGAGCTCCTCCAGGCAACGGCTCTCCTCCCGCCGCCTGAATGGTGAGAGCTCCTCCAGGCAACGGCTCTCCTCCCGCCGCCTGAATGGTGAGAGCTCCTCCAGGCAACGGCTCTCCTCCTCGCACCCCCATAGCGGATATCTCTCCAGTATTTGAAACCGAACTTATTCCGGTATCTAAGTAGCTAAAATCACCAGTAACAAGAATTTCAGAGGATGCATTCCCAATCGACACGACGTCCATCACGACACTATCTATACCACCCACAGTGCTCCCATCAACATCTTTGTCACCCACAGTGCCCCCAGCATCCACGTCACCTCCAGGCAACGGCTCTCCTCCCACCGCCTGAATGGCGGGAGCTCCTCCAGGCAACGGCTCTCCTCCCACCGTGTGGATGGCGGGAACTCCTCCAGGCAACGGCTCTCCTCCCACCGTCTGAATGGTGGGAGCTCCTCCAGGCAACGGCTCTCCTCCCACCGCCTGAATGGTGGGAGCTCCTCCAGGCAACGGCTCTCCTCCCACCGCCTGAATGGTGGGAGCTCCTCCAGGCAACGGCTCTCCTCCCACCGTGTTGATGGCGGGAACTCCTCCAGGCAAGGGCTCTCCTCCTCGCATCCCCATAACGGGGGTCTCTCCAGTATTTGAAACCGAACTTATTCCGGTATCTAAGTAGCTAAAATCACCAGTAACACGAATTTCAGAGGATGCATTCCCCATCGACACGACGTCCATCACGACACTATCTATACCACCCACAGTGCCCCCATCAACATCTTTGTCACCCACAGTGCCCCCAGCATCCACGTCACCCACTGTGCTCTCGTCTTCGTTCATCGTATGAGTCAAGTTTATCGGTGTGACTTCCCGCTCGGACATTTCTGCTGTTGCAGCGCCATCAATACCATGATTTTCATCATTACTACCATGATATTCCCCATTAATTCTACTACTTTCATCATTACTGTGATCAGAACTTCCATTACCGGATAAAGAGTTCAAGTCAAAATCGGGCCTGATCGACGTTGTGGCTGCAGGTGACAAGTCGTTAAGGGAATTGTCCATCGAATAATTGATGACGCCCATGTTGAGCGTTGGAAACCTGGCACTAGGAGCCCTATGAGGAGAATCCGTGACCGGAACACCCCCTTCTTGTTCGACGTCGTTCTGCGCGAGGTTGTCGTTGGCACTACCGTTCAGTGCAGAGAATGTGGACTCGCCAGTACCTCCTACAGGAGGGTCTCCGGTGCCGTTGTCACTTCGGTGGACCAACAAGGCGGAATTATCAATGATGCCAACCTTATAAATGTGGGCCGAAGATTCGAATTGGGGAGCGACGCTGATGGTGAAAGGGGGACTGAGATCATCACCATTTGAAGAAGGTGACATAAGAGAGTCATTAAACTTGCCAGATATGATGGTGATGTTTCTATCAATCTGCTCGGCAGTTGTGATGTTCACCACCCGATGGTGCGGGAAATTTACCAGCAGGAAAGACGATCTTGGTGGGTCTACAAGCTCGGAGTCGTCGAGTCCTGATGGAATAACCTGGCTTTGTCCTGTGACGATGAGCTGGAGAACCACCTTTGAATTGGCAGGAGCTACGTCAGACAACCTCGTCTTGTCCAAACTTATTGATGACGTTTCTGACGCGCTTTCTGTCGTGTTCAACGCAAGGCTTTGCTTCAGGCCAGCAAATTGCAACAGCACAGCAAGAGCGTTGCTTGGTATTCGATTTTTATTCGAATTTTGATCATTTTCGAGGCTGGGAGGACGAGGATCTGCTAAAGAACTTTGCGGGAAGTCAGAGTACTGGTACACGTCTGGCAGGACCTGACTAGGGTGGTAGTCCGGGAAATCGTAATCGTCTGTTAGTGCAGTTCCCTTCAGAGACGAGGTCTTGTTGGCAATCTCTGGCCTTGGGAAATCGAAGTCAACAGTTTGATATCCTTTTGTTGACTCCTCTTGCACAGAAAGCGCATCGTAAAGGAATGAGTAATCCGTATCGTTATCGGCGATTATGAAAGATGGACTATCATCTTGAAGAGCTCCGATCAAACTATCATTTCTTTCATCGGTCATGAGCGCGGGTTGCTTTATGTTTGTAGAGTCATTTGGCTGAGTTTGACGTTCCACAAGAATGTTCTGAAGCTGTTCCTGGAGCATCGTGCGCAGAATGTGTTCATTTATGGCGTTTTGAAGGTTTTCTTGTAATACCTTCAGAACCTCGAGATTTTTTGGTGGTGCGGTAGCCTGTTCGGGCAACGCCCCCAGAGGGTTTGGTCCGCTTGGGGACATCGCCTCTTCTTCCGGAGAGGTACCAGGCGTTGTAGTTGTACGATATAGAAAAGTATTCATTTTTAAATCTGAATTATCTTCAGGGTTGATCTCATTTTGTGATAAAATTAAAGACTTCAACAAATGAGCTGCAGAAAGATCAGTCAGAGATTGGGTCATATTTCTCAAATCCCGATTCACTTCACTTGCTGTAGATGAGTTGGAATTTGTATGGGTTTGCTGAGCATCCAGATTAATGGAGTCCAACTCTGACTCCACCCATTGCAGAATAATTGCATCCACCAACTGGTTTATTGAATGACTGACATCAGGAGTGTTCTGCGGGACTTGAATGTTAGAAGAATCAGGTTCCTTTCTGACATCCATACCCAACTCATCGTCAACAGCTGGGATTTCAACAGCGGAGACCTCATTAGCAAAGATCTCATCAGCAGAGACCTCATCAGGGGAGACCTCATCAGGAGGGACCTCATCAGCTGTGACCTCATCAGTAGAGACATTATTAACCGAGTTCAATGGTTCCACAGTCGAAGCATCTGCAGTGGACTGGAAGGAATCATTCAAGCCATCACTGGGGTGCGGCATTGATGGCTGATGCATAGCATCAGAGTTATGCAGCATCAGTTCGTTGAGCCTCGTTAGCCCGAGCAGCGCTGATGCCCCAGGCCGTCTGACGTGCAAGCTTCTGTTGCGAGTAGGTAGCGCCTGTTTCGTCATGATGTTCTCAGACATACTCCATAAACTTGCACCGCTGGCTGAAGTTTCAGGTACCAAGCTGCTGGTCAATAAACTTTCTAAAAACGCTTCTCTTAAATGCTGTAAAAAATATTCCATAAATTTGTCGTTCTTCCGCTCACCGAGCGATCGACCTGAAGAAGCCCTCGGTTTTTGAGTCCCTATGTTATGATGTTGCATGATGGAGGAGTCATGGCTGCGCTCGAACAACATCTTGAGTTTGTCGAGTAATTCTATTTTTTTGTTTTCCTGCATTTGGTTTCTCGCAGCGAGGTCACTCAACGCCGATCCTGTGTTCAGGCGAAGTAAGGTACTGGACTCCATGTTGCGATTAGGAGGAATCACCTGTTTTTCTTCATGAATAATCCTCTCGGCCAGCTGGGCGTAGATTTTACGCCTCTTTTCATCCAGACTTAAATCTTTCGAACCAGTGGCTGACTTCACATTGGTGGGGGATTTGGGTTCCTGGTGGCTCTCGGATTTACGTCTCAAAAAGTACAACTTATTTCCTATTTTTGTCACGTACAGTGCGGGGTTGGATTCGTCTGCACCTTCATCAGAAACATTACTTGCTTGGTTATCAATATCAACGTCTTCCTTATCTCCCATGACTTGTGTATCGTCTATTGCTTCATTGCCATCAGTGTTAATATTTTTAGCCTTTTCCTCGTGCAAAGTTCTGAGCATCTGAACGATTTTCATCCGCGCCAGGGCATTGAGAGCTGCTTGTGTTTGAGAAGAGATTCCTTGTTGGCTGCCGACAGCAGCAGCCTGTCTTAAATTCTGTGTGTAAACAATTTCAGTTCCATCAGGATGATAAGGTGGGTCGATAAGTTCTACTCGATAAGGGTTGTAAGGTTGGTCAACAGTTTCCGCTCCATCAGGGTTATAAGGTTGGTGAACTGGTTCCACTCGATGAGGGTTGTAAGGTGATTCGACAAGTTCAGTTCCATTATGGTTGTTAAGTGGGTGGGAAAGTTCCGTTCCATCGGGGTTATAAGGTGGGTGGGCAAGTGCTACGCGATCTAAGGTGAAATACTGTAAGCTATGTTTCCTTTCCAAGCTCATCGATGGTTTTGTTTCTCCTGAGAGTGCCACAGCGTCGTCTGCTTCGGTATTATCGTGGTAGACAAGTTGAAACTCCGACTTAATGTTTGTAGGAGAAAAAATATCGTGATTCATATGATCTTCATCTGTGTAATTCTTGGTGTCAGTTTCAATAGGCATCATTTCACTTGCCGACGAAAGCGGGACCTTTAGATAGGAAATTTCGTCATTAGGAGGATCAATAGTTGAATGTGGCAGCCTGTTATCAAAGGCTACCGTATACGAAGTGGTGTTCTGATATTCAGTAATGTGCGTAGGTAATTTCACAAGAACGAATATTGTTTGGTCTTTTGTAAAGTCATCAGAGGCGTCTGTTGAATTAATGGCTACCTGATTTTCTTTGGAGTCTTCTGAGCCATTCAATAGCATTGAAGTCCCTTGGTCTTTCGAGAAGTCTTCGAGGGCTTCCACTAACGCGGAGGTTCTGTTATCGTCTGGGAAATATTCAATGGATTCTCTTGACGGGAAAGTCGCCTGGGTCTCAAAATTTTCAGCGCCATGTTGATCAGTCGCAGTTGATCTGATCGCGGACGTGTCAGCAGGGGAGAGGCTAAAATAGTTTGATGCGAAGAGTTGGTTGCCGGAAGAGTCTCGAACGATTTGCTTCGCTTTGGCTTCACCGATTGATGGGCTTTTACGTTTATCATGAAAATTATTCATCGGTAAAACCTCTTCATCATGTGGTTCGTGACCAGAGTTTGTACTTGACTCATTTTTCAATTTAATCGATTCATTCTCATTGAATTCTTCCCCAAAGGGCTTTTTCATGAGGTACTCCTGTTCTTCTGGTAGACTCTGCGGCAAATCGTCCTCCTGTCCTCCAATTCTAGAAGCTGACTGAACAGGAATTCCCAGGTTGAGGAAGCTGCTTGAAAATAGTTTATTGCCCTGCTCATCCATGGTCATCACGGGACTTGCTCTGAATATTCTTATTTCGTCAGGAGCATTAGAAAGATTCCAAACTTGGGTGTTATAAGAGCCTGCTGCTTCAACAGCGTGAGTGGCGTTCTGGACGAGGGCAGCAGGACCGGAGTGGTCGTTGGACAAATCAAGCTCAAGGTTCGGGGACTGTTGAAAACTACCGATGTCTGGAAGCCCTGCGCAACAATTGATTTGATTTGTTACGTACGATGAGAAAGAATACTTCGCACGGCCTAGTGTGAGCCTAAAGAAACTTCACAGGGCCTAGTTAAAACCTAAAGGACTTTAACACGGCTTATTTAGAACCTGACGGAACTTCACACTGTCTAGTTTAAACATAGAGAGATTTCTAACGGCATAATTTTTCTCACCGGAATCAAGTTTACTCACCGCCCTGAGACAAGCTAAGCTGCGAGCGCAGGATTTGCGTGATTTTGATGTCGTATTTTGAATGCGCATTGAGGATGTTCATCACGAGCCTCACCTCCCCCACCGGCCACCCAAGCGGTGAAGGGAGCACCCGCACCACCGCTGCGGCAGGTAATTTGTGTAACAGTGGGTATGTCAGGTGGTATGACAGGTGATAAGTCAGGTGGTATGTCAGGTGGCATGTCAGGTGGTATGACTCATGGTAGGACAGGCGGTATAGCTACAGTATGACAGGCGGTATGACAGTTTGAAGGAAAGAATGCGTGACAGTTGGTACAAGTGGTATGATAGGATATGCGACCAGTGGTTCGACGGGAAGTATTAAGTAAGAAAAGTGGCATGGCAGGTGGTATGACAGGTGGTATTTCTCACTGCTATAGTTGGTGAGGGCGCCGCAGATGGCTCCCCCGCTGCCGCCCGTCTGGTCGTAGATGGTGAGGCCGCCCTCACCGCAGACCTCATCCCGAGGGGCGCCAAGCGTCACGTCCACGAAGTCCAGCCTGCATGGACGGCGGGTTATGGCGGGGCAGCACGGGAAGATGTTATGGTGGGGGGGGCATCACGGTGGGGGTTTATTATGGCGGGGCACCGCAAGAGGGTGTTATGGAGGGGGCATGACGGAAGGAGGGTTATAGTTGTTGGAGCCCCCTATGCAGCCGGAGGTAAGGTTTACCTGATGAACTCTGCATCCCTGAAGGGGGCGACGGTGACATTGCAGAGGCCAGGGGCGCCGTGGGGCTCAGGGTAGCGGGCGCTCCGCCACACGCCCACGGGCGCCGACAGCCTCGACCCGCACTGCAGGGCGACTACCGAGGGGAAAAATTGTAAGTGGAAGTTAAATTTAGCTTTAACTTTAGCCCGAAGCTGGCTTATCCTGACGTGAGAATGAGTTGAAAAGTGGGTATAGAGCGAAAGTGAATCGTGCAGTGAATGTTAGTCGTGCAGTGAATGTGAGTCGTGCAGTGAATGTGAGTCGTGCAGTGAATGTGAGTCGCGCAGTGAATGTGAGTCGCGCAGAGAATGTGAGTCGTGCAGTGAAAGTGAGTCGCGCAGTGAATGTGAGTCATGCAGTGAAAGTGAGTCGTGCAGTGAATGTGAGTCGTGCAGTGAATGTGAGTCGTGCAGTGAATGTGAGTCGTGCAGCGAAAGTGAGTCGTGCAGTGAATGTGAGTCGTGCTGTGAAAGTGAGTCGTGCAGTGAAAGTGAGTCGTGCAGTGAATGTGAGTCGTGCAGCGAAAGTGAATCGTGCAGTAACAGTGAATCGTGCAGTGAAAGTGAATCGTGCAGTGAATGTGAGTCGTGCAGTGAATGTGAGTCGTGCAGTGAAAGTGAGTCGTGCAATGAATGAGAGACGTGCAGTGAATGTGAGTCGTGCTGTGAAAGTGAGTCGTGAAGTGAAAGTGAGTCGTGCAATGAATGTGAGTCGTGCTGTGAAAGTGAGTCGTGCAGTGAAAGCGAGTCGTGCAGTGAATGTTAGTCGTGCAGCGAAAGTGAATCGTGCAGTGAAAGTGAATCGTGCAGTGAAAGTGAATCGTGCAGTGAATGTGAGTCGTGCAGTGAATGTGAGTCGTGCAATGAATGTGAGACGTGCAGTGAAAGTGAGTCGTGCATTGAATTGTGAATATGAGTCGTGTAGTGAATGTACGTCGTGCAGTGAATTTGAGTCGTACAGGGTGAAGTGACCTCATGGGGTGAGTGAAGTCATGGGGTAATGGGGTTTAGCAGTCGCGGTTGAGCCGCGTCACAAAGCGGATGTGCATACTGCGCGGGCTCATATCTTGCATTTACACTAAGCTGGCTGAACTGTAATAACACATTTTGTATTGAAGCATCTCGGTAAAAAGACTTGATGTGAAGTCCGTGAAAGAGAATGCAAACAAAAAGTGGAAGCAAGTAAAAAGTGGTTCCCTGTTTTTTATGCTGAAAAACGAGTCTAAAGCTAGTGAGTGAAGGCACAGTGTGGCGAATATAGGCGAAGTGCCTTTCTGTTAAGCCTATTCATTTGAACCGAGCTCCGTCAACTTCACCCTTGCCCCTCCGACTACCTTTATCCTTCCCCTCCTCCTCTCTAACCCTCTGTCGCGAGCCCTTCAATCCCTCATCCCACCCCTCTCTCCGCGCTCAGCTGTTACTCTGGAGTCGTAATGTTCGACGGAACTGTAATGCCTCGTTCACACACTGCCGGTTAAAGGGCCGGAAGACACCCGGAATCGATTCCTGGGGTACCGGTTATCAAACTGGAGATCCGGGAAATGAGATCCGGGAGTTCCTGGAGGGTGTGGCCATAATCCGGCTTGGTCGAGAAAATTATTCAACATGTTGAATAATTTTGCCGGTACGCCAGGAACCATAAAAATCCGGGACCCAACCCGCTCTTCCGATGCTATGTGAGAACTCAACCGGCAAGGCAGGGGGACCACCCTGGGGTACCGGGAGGGGTGAAATCGACCCAAAAAAGCAGGAAATTCTGTAAATCCACAATATTATTTATCAAAATTAACTTACCAATTCTATAGCAATTCTGTTGTCTTGTAAAGCCTTGGCCATGTGTACATACTCTCCCATTATGTTGACAGCCTCTGTCAATATGGCTATCCTCTGTCTCTGGCTTACCATGATGTTGCCCGATCTGTTGTGCTGCTTGAAATGATGAAACCATCCGCACACCTAGACTATTTATAGGAAACAGGGGAAGGGGCGGGCCTAAATTTGCATAACTTACCTGGAATACCGGGAAAAAAGCCGGGCCTACCCTGGTTTTACGGCAGTTCTTACTGCTCAAACGGCTCTACCTGCTGTTTTACCGTTTTTTTCCCGGGAATTCCGGCGATCTACCTGGAAATCCGGGAGGCATACGTGACTTCCCGCAGGCTCCCGGGAGTACCGGGAATACGTTGACAGCCGGTATTGCAGGATCTCCCGGCTGCTGAAGCCGGATCTCCCGGATAACTGGCTCTTCCGGGAAACCTTCCGGCTCTTATGGGACAGCTATCTGGAGGGCATTTGCATATTAAGCCCTGCCCCATATACCGGCTATAAATCCGGCATTTCAACCGGCTTGGCGTTTCCGGGACTTCCGGCCCTTTAACCCGCAGTGTGAGAACGAGGCATAACTCTACTCAAGTCAATTCAGTTTTAAACTTGTGTGTTCCTCCCTCTCGACTGCTCCTCCCGCTTCGGGGACATTGTTCATGTATCTGGACTTGATTTTGTCTGGGGATGTGGATCCTCACTGATGAGTTCGAAAGAACGAAACAGAATCACTTTCCACTAGTGCTTAACGCTGGGCGTGTGTAATACGCGCCTGGGACAGGCTGGTCCGAACGCTAGGAATGGAGTGCTGTTATGGCACCACCTCTAGCGGCCTGGGAAAAACTTCGCTATTTATAGCCGTTCTGCCAGGATGGTGTCTGTTTTCCGGAGAAATCCGGTCTTGGCTGGGGATGAAAGTCTAACGGTCGGGTCGTCCCGCCGATGCATCCTCGTTTTCCGCGACGGGAAAAAACGAATTAGGAAGAGAGCTACTGCTCCTCCCTCTTCGGGGACATTGTCTATATATCTGGACTTGATTTTGTCTGGGGATGTGGATCCTCACTGACGAGTTCGAAAGAACGAAACAGAATCACTTTCCACTAGTGCTTTAACGCTAGGCGTCGCCTGGGACAGGCTGGTCCGAGCGCTAGGAATGGAGTGCTGTGATGGCACCACCTCTAGCGGCCTGGGAAAAACTTTGCACAGCTACTTCGCCGATGGTGACCCGATGTAGAGGACTTGCTTTACGCTCACCAACGAATCGGTCTACTCTGTCGTGCGGGGAGATCGGGAACGACGCCCGGGGAAGGCTAACTCGAGCAAGTAACTATATGGCGCACCGCAGAGGTTCTCGTAAGAACTCTGGTTATCAACAGTGAGACGAGCGAGGAACTTCGAGATGCTCAAGAAGTCAAGATCATCGCGTGTTGCAGTGGAATCCTCAATTTTCCTGCTACTCGTGTGGCTTTGGAGGTTTCAGGCTTATGGACCCGATCTCTCGGACCACATCGAGCGCGAGATGTGCTCGTACTCAGAACATTGGACCTGGGACGACGAAGATCTCAAAACTTAATTGTTTGTGCATATTCATTATGTGGAGCTATTTTTGACTGCTAAGCTATAGTTTACGTCATTATTTTATCGCACTGTTTGACGGTACATTCCAGATCGTAAGATTTTACCAACGGGATTGAATAGAATAGCGAGGTCAGATACATGTTAGATAACCACTTTTTGAGTATTTTTAGATTAATATCGAATAAATATTAGTTTAAGAGCATCCTTATTTTTTTTTTTAGTTTATTGCGGTTATTAGCCAACTAAGAACACGCTCACAATTTTATGGCGATAGTTACCTACCTTAACTTTGCACCCCGTAGAACTATGTATCTGGTTGAGCGGGATGTGAACGAATGAAAATCTTTCACGGTAATTTTTATATTTCAACTAATTTAAGCTTAGAGATAAATTTTACTTGTATCAATTTTTAACGAAGCCTGTTGGATAACTTAGACTTCCCGACCCTTTCAGGGAAAATTTGTCTCAGAGAGAGACGGCGAGGGCGATAGTTTTTAATTAGGGCAGACAGTTATGCTAGCCGATCAGTGAAGTTGCAGCTCTGACCTCCCTAGCTAGAATCTGCTAGTCTTGTATTACTGGTTATAATCTGGGCCTTCTTCCTGACTGAGCGGAATATTCTTTGCCAACTTTCGTGCCTCTTTTAACAGTAGGTAGAGAGTGCTCATTTTAAAGTACAATATTTCTATTGGAATAAAAGTGCTTTAAACTGCATTAGTGAACTGGATAGTGGTGTTTTCATTGTCAATCATTTTGAATAACTTGTTAATAAAATCGTGGCCAACGTGCAACCTTTGGGCGACTGACGGGTGAAGTCAACAGTCACGACTTACAAATGATGTCAGCACTCACGACTGACGGGTGAAGTCAACACTCACGACTGACGGGTGAAGGCAACACCCATGACTGACGGGTGAAGTCAACACTCACGACTGACGGGTGAAGGCAACACTCACGACTGACGGGTGAAGGCAACACTCAAGACTGACGGGTGAAGTCAACACTCACGACTGACGGGTGAAGGCAACACTCACTGTTGGTCGCCGCTGAAGCCCGTTGATAACAACACCCCAGCACCAGCCTGCAGGAGATAACAATGCAGATAACAGTTCCATTGCAGTGATAACAACCTTGTTGCAAATAACCATCGTGTGTAGCCAATCGTAGGACGCGTGTAAAAGCCGTACGTTAAAGGTAACAGCCTTGCGGTGCAGATAACAGCCTTGCGTTGCAGATAACAGCCTTGCGTTGCAGATAACAGCCTAGCGTTACAGATAACAGCCTTACGTTACAGATAACAGCCTTGCGTTACAGATAACAGCCTCGCGTCAACCACGGCTGTCATCGGTACATGCGTGTTGGTAACACAACACTCTGACAAATAAGTGAGACTTGGTCCCATTACCCAGTCAGACCCAGCAAAAAGATGCATCGGCGCTATTTCCGGTTTCTGCTCGTGTAGTGGGTACAAAAGTGTCACTATTTAGACAACATGACCCATTTATATTTCTGATTGAACCGCTGGACACGCAGCTTCTGCCTACAGGCGGGGAAGCGACGGTCATGCCGGTTTTGGCGGCCGTAAAAACTGGCACTTGAAGTAGGTTACCCGCCACCTCCTCACCCAAGCACGTGCACCTCTTCACCCCAACACGCGTCCCTCTTCACCCCAACACGTGCACCTCTTCACCCCAACGCGTGCTCATCCTCACCCTTAAAACGCGCATGTCCTTCGAACCCGCAACTCACTGCTTCAATTTTGCTGTTCTCAACCGCCCGGCCAACTCACTGATTGTCATCAAAAAATCACAGGAAGCTGGGATCGAACAAGCAACTCACTGCTCAAGTTTTCGTACTCTGAACTGTAGCCACTCGTCTACCCCTGCCTGTGCCTGCCATATTCTATCAGTTTAAGTCATATTATAGCAGTAAATTTATGTAATATAGCGGTTTCAGAGTTTAGTAGGCCGTAGGCCTGTCGCCGATTGTTAACATTGCAGAACATCCACAGAATGTTGAGGGCTTGAACTCGCAACTCACTTTTTAAAATTTTCTTTGCTTAACCGCCCGACCTCCCTGCTGATTCTGACCAGAAACTGACGCACAGAGCCGGGATCGAACCCGCACCTCAGTGCTCCAATCTTGGTACTCTGAACTGTAACCACTGGGCCACCCTGGTCACATTTATTGGGTCACCCAGACACCCACTAGGTCACATTTATTGAAGGCATTCAAAGAACGAGTTAGATGCAAGATGAACTTACCAGATCATGATTGAATACATCATATCTTCTGCTGCGTGAGGTGAATGTCTACTGAAGCTCACGCGATCTTAATTCAAAACTTGAGTTTCACACCCTCGGTTCTGTAAGTTCGCACAAATTTTAAATCACTTATGGCACTTCTTCTTAAATTTCACAATTTTTAAAATGAACGATGCACAAAGTCAATTGAAATATTGTCTAATTACTCGCAATCACGTGTGTCAGAGACTCAGGGTATGATACCCTACATCTTAACGTTAGGTTGTGTCAGGATCACCATAGCACAATATTACACACCCTCACTTGACCGTGTCTGGCGCGGCACTGAGACTCCGCGGTCAGCTGATCCGGTCTTCCAGATTGGAAAAAAAATTCTCACTTCCGCAAACGATAAAAAAACTTCAACTATAAACAAACCATGCGTCAGTAATTAGCCGGTACAACTAGGAACACTATTTGTAAAATTTTTTATTTATTGTGTGCATCATATAAACAATTAATTAAATTTTTGTGAATATTTCGAAATGTGTTTCCCCCCGCGGGGAATCAAGGCGGGGTGGGGGGGGGCAGCCGCAAGTGTGTCGCTTTCTTTTACCTGAAGGGACAGCCAGGGGGTGGCTCCTGCATGATGGCATGATTGATCAGACATGATGGCATGATCGATCAGACATAGAATAGAATATAAGTTTCGGCACTGAAGAAATAGGCACATGACCTGTTGCCGATTCTTGTACTTTTCGTGACTTGATACTGGCATACGCCTTTGGAACCCGATCTTTCCATAACTGACGATTGATTGATGAGTCATGATGGCTTGGCATGGCATGATTGATCAGACATGATGGAATGACCTGGCATGATTGATCAGACATGATGACATGACATGGCATGATAGTCACCCACGACAAGATGGCGAAGTCTCATTTTATTCACTATTGTTTTCCTAGCAGCACAATTCCGAGGATCAACAAGAAACGAGCTTCTGAAATAACATTTATTTTAAACATTGCATGTGAGAGAAAAATATAACTTGCCTGTAAGAAAAATAGTGTAACATTCCATCGTATCCCAACTAGTCCCGTTACTAGGGGAGTTACCCCAACTAGTCCCGTTACTAGGGGAGCTACCTCAACTAGTCCCGTTACTAGGGGAGTTACCCCAACTAGTCCCGTTACCAGGGGAGTTACCCCAACTAGTCCCGTTACTAGGGGAGTTACCCCAACTAGTCCCGTTACTAGGGGAGCTACCTCAACTAGTCCCGTTACTAGGGGAGTTACATCAACTAGTCCCGTTACTAGGGGAGTTACCCCAACTAGTCCCGTTACTAGGGGAGTTACCTCAACTTGTCCCGTTACTAGGGGAGTTACCCCATCTAGTCCCGTTACTAGGGAAGTTACCTCAACTAGTCCCGTTACTAGGGAAGTTACCCCAACTAGTCCCGTTACTAGGGGAGTTACCCCAACTAGTCCCGTTACTAGGGGAGTTGCCCCAACTAGTCCCGTTACTAGGGGAGCTACCCCAACTAGTCCAGTTGCTAGGGGAGTTACCTCAACTAGTCCCGTTACTAGGGGAGCTACCTCAACTAGTCCCGTTACTAGGGAAGTTACCCCAACTAGTCCCGTTACTAGGGGAGAGACCCCAACTAGTCTCGTTACTAGGGGAGTTACCCCAACTAGTCCCGTTACTAGGGTAGTTACCCCAACTAGTACCGTTACTAGGGGAGTTACCACAACTAGTTCCGTTACTAGGGGAGTTACCCCAACTAGTCCCGTTACTAGGGGAGTTACCCCAACTAGTACCGTTACTGGGGGAGTTACCCCAACTAGTCCCATTACTAGGGGAGTTACCCCAACTAGTCCCGTTACTAGGGGAGTTACCCCAACTAGTACCGTTACTAGGGGAGTTACCCCAACTAGTCCCGTTACTAGGGGAGTTACCCCAACTAGTCCCGTTACTAGGGGAGTTACCCCAACTAGTNACGCCTGGCCCGTGACTGGCTTCCGCCTGGCCCGTGACTGGCATACGCCTGGCCCGTGACTGGCTTCCGCCTGGCCCGTGACTGGCATACGCCTGGCCCGTGACTGGCTTCCGCCTGGCCCGTGACTGGCATACGCCTGGCCCGTGACTGGCTTCCGCCTGGCCCGTGACTGGCATACGCCTGGCCCGTGACTGGCAGCGTATTGTGAACCCTGTCTTAATATGTGAGCTTAATTATAGACCATCAAGCTACCCCTACTGTGCCCAGCAACTAAATATGGACTACTTTGGGAGCCCACACTAGCCATGTGAGGCCACACAAGCCATGTGAGGCCATACAACCCACGTGAGGCCACACAAGCCATGTGAGGCCACACAAGCCATGTGAGGCCACACAAGCCATGTGAGGCCACACAAAGCACACAGACACTGAAGCGACGCAGCTGCCACTGAGGCCCGCAGAGGCGCTACTGAGGCGCATCACAGAGGCCACAGAGCTGGCCGTAGTTGGCGGGGTCAGTGAGGCACGTCACCAGGAAGTGGCCCAAGTCCTGCTTGGTGATGGTCCTGCCAGGGCCCTGGCCCCGCGCCACCGTGTAGTCCCCGCGGCCTGGGCCCTCTGAGGGCAGGAATGTTAACAATTAGACCCGGCCAGGGGCCATGGCCCCGGATGGGCCCTCTGTGGGTGGGAATTTTAACTATTAGGTCTGATAGGGCCATGGCCCGCCCTGGGCCCATTGATTATGGCCCGGGGCCCTTTAATGATTATTGGAATGTTAATGGGACTTGATATTTATGAGGCCATGGCCCAGCCTGGCCACTCTAAGGGTGGGAATGTAACCAATTATGCCTTATGGGGCCATGGCCCACATGCTAGGCATAGAATTTTAAAGGTACAGGCCATGATGGGGTGAAGAAGTGGTGGGGTGAGCGGTATATATGATCTTTTATTACAAAAAAATGCTCTGAATAAAATGTTGAAAAATATCACCATCAAATAAATCGATCACAATCTTGAATAAAGGATCAAAATATATCATTATCGTATACAAAATGATTAAAATATATAATCATCAAAGTTATTGATATTAAATAAAAATCGCCCCATCGCCCCCTCGTTAATGAAATGATTAAAATATATAATCATCAAAGTTATTATTATTAAATAAAAATGGGCCCATCGCCCCCTCACCCGTGATGTGTGGGGGACACACGGCGACCCACGTGCGGTCGCTGTCCCGCAGCAGCGCCAGCATGCGCTTGTGGTCCCCGTCAACCTCACGGAACCGCGGGGGAACAGAGTGTTCCTCCCAGAACAGGAAGGCTGGAACAGCGTACAGTATAGTGTTCCTCCCAGAACAGGAAGGCTGGAACAGCGTACAGTATAGTGTTCCTCCCAGAACAGGAAGGCTGGAACAGTGTACAGTATAGTGTTCTTCCCAGAACAGGAAGGCTGGAACAGCGTACAGTATAGTGTTCTTCCCAGAACAGGAAGGCTGGAACAGTGTACAGTATAGTGTT